CGAAGGCGGGCGCGGCGCACTCATGAGGCGGCGGGCCGCGAGCAGGGCAGACGCGAATATGCAAGATCACGCGATAAATCATCGTTCTACTGGCGCCTTACAAGAAAACGTCATCAACATTGAACAGAATGTCCATCATGCACATGTGCTACGGCAGCGAGGTGGAGAAGCGGTCAATCGTGCTCTCGGCGAGTTTGGCGATGGCGCGACGCGCGGTGGAGAGGGTCGTGATCTCTAGCATGTCATAGAGCAGCTGATTCCAGATGGTCGGCTGGTATTGGCGGCGATGGGCCTCGATCGCATTCGAGCCAATCGGCGCGCTGGTGCTCCTGGGGGCGTGCTCGGACGCGTCGCAGTCGCCCGGCGTGATAACGGTGCGCTTGAGAGGGCCGTCGGCAGCATGGCGTAGCAACGGGCGCCATTGATGTCGCGTCGCCTCTCTGTCGCTCGGGGACAGCTCTTGGTTGTGAATGTTCAGCGCAGCGACGTCGCATTTGCGGGTGGTGCCCGCAATTCTGAGCCCTGCTGCTCGCCCTGGAACGACCTCTGCGAAGGCGCGCGGCGGTCGCTCTTCGGGCGGGCGGCTGAGCTCGACCTGGTCGAGGGGGGCGAGAAAGCCAACGCCGCCGGCCGAAGTGGAGTTCGCGGCGCTGGAGTGGAATGCCAGGTACCTGTGCTGCGCGGAGCGCGCGAGGATGTCCACGTCGACGGCGGCGCCGCGCGTCTACTGCAGCGCGATCAAGGCCCGCTGGCCAAGTAGAGGTCGGAGAAGGCGGCGTTTCTAGAGCCTGCGCGATCCAGAAGGCGATGTTCATGCCGCGCTCCTTGGGCGGGGGCCCAGCGAGGGCTCGGGCCACTGTGCGGAGGCCAGAGCGTGGATAATGTTTTGCTGCTGGTCATTGATGCCGCGTCGTGCTGCAGCGGCTGTCCAGCGCACGGTAGCCGGCTCATCCGGAGATCTGCCCACGCGCGGCTGAACCCAAACCTCATTCTAGTATGAGATGGAGACCTGGCTCCTGCGCAAGCGGAGGGAGTAGTGGTCGGTCGAAGCGTTGTTGATGAGGTTGCCCAAGCGCTTGAAGTTGACTCCTCGGCGCGCTGTTCGTGGGCTCTTATCGGCAGGCACGCGCAGCGCCGTAGGAGCACCGCTGCCAATAAATTGAGTGAAGTCGCGCCATACTCGTCCGACGCGACATGTTTCGTGGAGGCGCCGTGCTCGCGGTTCAGCAACCACTGTGCCGCCAGTGAGGGTGAAGCTGGGACGCGCGCTGATGCCCGGGGTGTTAAGCGATATGTGGTTGCCGTTGACTTGGGCCGCCTCGAGTTACGAGTCCAGCAAAATCTCGAATCGCCGATGCCGAAGGGAGCTGCGCATCCCCACCAGAAGGTGCATGGGTCGGCACATCTGTCCCAGGTCCAGAGGTTGGCCACGTCGATGCCTGGGTTGCGGGGCTCAGAGTCGTCCGCGATCTTCTGGAGCTTGTTGACTGATACTCGTAGTTCTCGGGTGGCCACTTTCGTGGCTGAAATTATGGCTTTGGTGTCCTGTCGGTCCCTCTCGGTTCGCTCATGCCTGGTCTTGAAGTCAGTGGCGATGGAAGTGATGGGGGCGAGGAACTGCGAGCGGGCGGATTCCACAACGGACCGGGCGGTGGTTTCGAACCCTGAGGCGGCGACTGTTACCTGCGCGGCAAGCGTTTCCTCGAGCTGCTGTCGGAGGCAAGGTGGAACTGTCTGAGCTTGTTACTTGGAGGCTGCATCGTAGGGGGGGGCTCGGACGCTTGCCACCTTCGCCGACGGAATAACCTTGCTTGTCGTCAGCGCCTGGCATGGTGAAATCGCATAGCTTGCAGCCACGCGACCAATCACTCCACAGGATATGAAGACCGCAACACACAAACAATGAGGGCTGAACATGGAATTGGGCACCCGCAGTTCCCTGATTGTGGCGGGAAGAAAACGGAAGCTGGCCGCGGCCCAACGGTGTCCATTGGACACCGCTGGGGTAGAATCATATTGGGCCAAAATGGCTACGGAGGCACGGGGAAAGAAGAGGATGATGATCAGGTGGCAGGAAGAATTCCGCTTCGCATCTGGGCCTGGGAGCGAAGCCCGCCCCAGCTCTGCCGGATACAGGTCCACGGTTGCGCAGAGTCGAAGGGCAAGTGTCGGCGGCGAGCGAGGGGGGGAAGTGAGAAGGAGAAATCCTTCTCAGAAGGCTCGGAATCCCCCTGTTCTTCTGACAAGTTTTCTAAGCCTTCCTTGACGACGCAGACAACTTCTGAGAAGGCGCCAGAGCTCCTGAGAAGTCCCGCCGCCTTCAGAGCAGGCCTTCTACTTCTCACTTCTCCCTCTCGCCCGCCGCCGGAAAGAGGAGGAGGAGGAGGAGGAGGAGGAGGAGGAGGAGGAGGAGGAGGAGGAGGAGGAGGAAGCTTACGCCACGGGCGCAGCGCCCAGCGGCGTGCGCAAAAAAAAAAAGGAGGGGGAGGAGGAGGGGGAGGGGGAGGAGGAGGAGGAGGAGGAGGAGGAGGAGGAGGAGGAGGGAGGAGGAGGAGGGAGGAGGGGAGGAGGGGGAGGAGTTACGGAGTTACGGAGTTACGGATTTGCGACCATGTCGGTTACGATTAAGCCTCGACCGCTCAGAGGACCTCGGAGAGATTGCGAAAGGAGGAGGAGGAGGAGGAGGAGGAGTAGGAGGAGGAGGAGGAGGAAGAGGAGGTGGAGGAGAAGGGGGAAGAGGAGGAGGAGGAGGAGGAGGAGGAGGAGGAGGAGGAGGAGGAGGAGGTGGCGGGGGAGAGCCCGCGGCGCGCCCAGGCGGGAAGGCAGATGGCGCGGGCCTCCCGAGGGCGCCGTCGACCTCCGGCCCTCCGGAGCAGCGCGGGGCCCTCCCAGAAGGCCAGAGGGCTGCTGAGAAGTGGTGCCGTTTTGTTTAAAAGGGACACCCCTCACCTCCCCCCCCTCGACGAGCCGCCGAGGAGAGGGCGACGGGCGGAGGAGGAAGAGGAGGGCTGCTGAGAAGCGGCGCCGCCTTCTGAGAAGGGATCCCCCTCGCCCTCCCCCCTCGGCGAGCCGCCGAAAAGAGGGCGACGGGCGGAGGAGGAGACGGAGCTAGACTGGCACAGGTAACGGGGACGGCGCATGGACACTGGCTCTCCGAGGTCTGGGCGGATTTCTTGAAGGGGCCCGGGGACGCACAAACAAGTAGGCACCAGTAGGAGGCTTCCCCCTATTTTCCCGTGTACTCTGGGTTGTTGTCTTCCCCCACTTCCCATATTTTCCCATCTTTCCGGGGGAATCGACGATTCATTGTGTCTGTGGGCTCTTTCCCTCCTGATTTCTGTGGTCGGCGCTGGACGCCTCGCCCCCCGGGAGCGCGGGGCGCGCGAGGGGGCGGCGCGCCAGGGGCGCCGGCGGGGAGGGGGGGCGAGGGCCAGCGCCAGGCCAAGAAATCCGAGCGAACCTGCGACAGTGTATGTATGAGGAGGCAACTGCTGGGAGGTCTTCGTCGGAATGACTACGGAGGATTGGGCCCCATTTGGGGGGCTGTTACGCCGGAGTGGGCCTCGGACCAAGCAGGATTCAGCCAAATTAAGCCGGATTAAGCGGGATTCAGCGGGATTCAGCGGGATTAAGCCGGATTAAGCCGGACTTCGGACCAGGGCAAAATCAGAATTTGAACTCCCAGGAGCTGCATCCGAAAGTGTATGTGTACACGTCGTTCATGTCTAATCGTGCTCATCTCCAACTGTGCTCGTTTCTAATTGCTCCTGGCCCCCCAGTGGCCAGGACGAGGCCCAGGATAGATCAATCAGATATGAAAGGATCTTGCCCTCCCCAACAAAAACAAAGAACTTTCGAATACTTAGAAATGAACCATGTGTATGCCTGCATGCAGACTTTCCCACCGAGGACGAGGCGGAGGAGGAACATCACCATGACTCACATGGGCAGCCACGTGTGAACCCTACCCCTGCGGGTCAGATTTCCGAAAAAACGACCGGGGGTCAGGATGTGAAATACTGCTGCAGCCAAGTGAACCCCAGCGGGGATGTCCGATGACCCAGCGTCGCAAGAGATCGAAGACGGCCTGCGATTATCAGTGTGTACACATGCTAGCCAGTGTGGAGCCCAAACATTGTCTGTGGCAATGTATATGTATATATATATATATATATATATATGTGTTGCGCAGTCTGTGTGGAGCAGTCTATGCGGTGCAATCTAGGTGGTGCAATCCATGATGTGCGACCAAAGGCTGTGCAGTCTATGTTGTGCTACATACGCGGTGCAACATCTGTGGTGTTGTCTCTGTGCTTTAATCCAGCTGGCGACGGGGCGGCGACGGCGGCTGCGGAGCCGACGGGCTGGCACCCCGGCCCCGACGACGGGCGGCGACGGGGCGGCGACGGCGACCACAGAGCCGACAGACCGGCACCCGGGCCCGGACGACGGGCGGCCATGAGGCGGCGACGGGGCGGCGACGGCGACCACGGAGCCGTCAGACCGGCACCCGGGCCCAGAACGCGGGGCGGCGACGAGGCGGCGACGGGGCGGCGACGGCGACCACGGAGCCGCCAGCCCTGCACCCAGGCCCACTTCACGTAGACAACGAAGTCAGAACTCCTACTGTTTGGGCGACTCATGGATCTTGGTGCTCCTCGAGGAGGAGGAGGGCCCAGGCATGCGATGTCTCGGTGTTGCTCGAAAGGGGTCCTCGGAAATCCCGACCCTTTCCTCCAGGACCAGCTCTTCGTCCCGAGTCGTTTCCGTTGCGGCCCTGGGACCCCGCGAGGTCCCCAGAGGCCGAAAACTATCGAAAACCTCCCGTCGTGTTTTTGCTCACGACGTGAGCTTGTCTGGGGAGGAGGAGGAGGCGGAGGCGGAGAAGGCGGAGGAGGCGGAGAAGGAGGAGGAGGAGGAGGAGCAGGAGGAGGAGGAGAGGGAGGGGGAGGAGGAACATCACCATCACCCTCTCTTCCTGCCCGAGGCCCCCGTGGGACCTCCGGCTCCAGCTCCGCTGCAGGGCCGCCCGCCCCCGTGGCGGGGGTGCGCAGCGGGGGCTCGGAGTGGCAGCGCCGCGCCGCGTGGATGGGCACCTCCTCGGCGCCCGTGCCGAAATCGTGAATGAACGTGTTCTTCACCTAATCGTGGGGCGGCGGCGCTGATGAAACAAATACAAAGCCTTACGATCCATCATGCGGCCGTTTGGCACCCTTGGCTGTCCAGTCTGGGAACCTTCCTGGAGCCACTCGCTCCACTCGTGCGTCGAAGCTGCGTCGAACGTCCGTCGATTCGAGTCGAACCTGAGTCGAACCTGAGTCGAAACTGAGTCGAACTTGAGTCGAAGTGGGGTCGAACAGATTCTTTAGGTGGACCCCAGGAAGGTCCCCCAAACGAGCACCTAGGCTTAGGTCGGGCCTGTCCCACGACGGAGGGGATTTTGGAGGAAAAATGTAAAATATCCCCAAAAGATTCAAAACAACAGAAAAAATACTCTAGAAATCGACCCCAGACTGTTTTAGACTATTTTTGACCGTTCCTCCTGCAGAGGGCCAGGCCCGACTTCAACCTAGGCGTCCTGCGGCTGTGCCTGCCCCGAGCCAGGGGAGGCACAGCGAAGGCGGGGTGCCCTGCCTCTGCCTCCTGCGGCTCCTGCTGCTCCTCTTTCTCAGCTGCGACGGGGGGGGGAGATCGGGGAGGACCCACCCACAATGATGGGCCTGTTTTCCACCACCACCACCCAGAAGTTGAAGGGGGGAGGGGGTCCTCCTCCTCCTCCTCCTCCTCCTCCTCCTCCTCCTCCTCCTCGTCCTCCTCTTCCTCGTCCTCCTCCTCCTTCCCCCATCCAACTTATGGTGGTGGTGGTGGTGGTGGTGGTGGAAAACAGGCCCATCACAGAAAACCCCCTCACGTCGTGAACATAACTCGCGGGGGGAGACTCTGTGCCAGCTTTCGGCTCCTGGGGTCGCTCGCCGGGGGCCAGAGGACCGTCGAGGGATGCGAAGCCGGTCCTGGGAGAGGGAGGGGCCCCCCCTGGCATGCGCTGCCCTGTTTTCTTCTGTACGGGGTCCCCGGAAGTCCCGACCCCTTCCCCAAGACCGGCTCTTCATCCCGAGTCGCTTTCTGAGGGTCCCGGGGCCCGGCGAGAGTCAGGGAAACTGTCGGAAGACGAGGAGGAGGCGGATGAGGAGGAGGAGGAGGAGGAAAAGAATGGGGCGAGGAAGGATCAGGAGGGGGGAAGCAGACAGACAGTTGCCTTGCATCCGCCTGGGCGCGCTGGCAGGAAGTTGAAGGATACCGCCAAAGTCAGGCGCTTCTCTGCGAGAGCGGCGGCAAACGATGAGGCGCAGGGGGGGGCAGCATCGGCTGGGATCGGAGCTACCCATCCTTACGCGTCGGTCGGAAGAAGCAGGTCAAAACATGCACTAGGAAGGCGGATCAAGTAGGTTGGGCTCGGGCTATCCCAGAGAAAAGCAAAACGCAGCAAGATAATTTCGAATCCAGAAGCAGTAAGGAAAGCGCTTGAGGTAGCTTGGCTTCTGGGGATCCCAAAACATCAACTTTCAACGACCGACGGGTACTGTCGGTTTCAACTGTGCATCGCCGGCAGATCGGGGATGCGCTCCCGATGGCGGAAGACAGGACGCTCCTGGGCGGTGTGGGCCATGTCGGGCGCATACAGCGGCGAGGGATGGGCGCTCGGGGATCGATGCGTCCCCCCTGCAGCCTGTCCCTCCTACTGTTGCCCCTCATCCTCGAGGAAGGACAGCCATCCACAAACAGGAACTGTCGGAGGTCAGCGCAAATTTCTCGGACTGGCGCTCGACCCCCTGGCGGCGCCTCGGGCGCTGCCCCTGGCGCGCCGGCCCAAGAAATCCGCGCGGACCTCCGAACGTGTCTGTTGCTGACTCGAAAGAAGATGGCCAGGTCCTGCGACTGCCTCTCATTCCCCTGCTACCCGATGTCAGACTTCATTCGCTGGGTCAGAGTCGGCGAAGGGCAAACTAAAGAAAGCATCGCTTCTGAGAACCATACGGGTCCGGGCGAAGAATGTCCAAAGGAACTGCCAATACAAAAAAGCAGGGAAGAGACGTTCGATGAGATAACCACGGAGGGCTGACCCCCACGAGCAGGCGAAGGACCCCCCCCCGTCCGTTCGACCATAGGCAAGGAGTGGCCCTGGCTTATTGTGGGGCAGCGGGAAGGCAAATCTGAGCGTCCAAGCCAGTGCAGGAGGGACACATGCGGCCCACACTAATATCGGGGGCGACCAAGAGGGGGGCGTCCAAGAGGGGGGGCGCAAATCATGGCCGGCGGCATGTGCGCGGCCACGGGGTGCGTGGGGGGGGGCGAGGACGTGATGAAATGAGAAGAGGCGCCATAAAACAATCTGGGGAGATATCCCGACCCCCGCCATGATGATATCCACCCCCCTATAGTCATCACCCCTCTTGGCCGCCCCCGAGAATCGTCGGACGCGCTCCGTGCCCACCACGGCTGCCCGCTGGGCTCACCGGTCCTCTCGCCGCTCCGGCTGCCACCAGAGTTCGGCTGGGCATGTCCCCTCCTGCAGGCGGATTTTTCACGAAGAATAGAAACAGTCAAAAATGCCCCCCACAAATCTAAGATACAAAACATGAATATCGTTTAACCGATCCCCATCCCCAGCGGCGTGGCCTGGGCCCCACTGGCCGATTTACCCCCCCCCCCAGATGGGGATACGGGTCGTTCTCTTCGGGCTTCGGGGGGTGTAGCCCCAACTGGGGGGGTAATTTGGTGGGGGTCTCGAAGGGATGGGGATGGACATGGGGATCGGTTAAACGATACCGAACAACTTGTTTCGACTATCTTTACGTATTACTCCCGTAGAGGGACGTGCCCGACTGAACACCCGAGCTAAGTGCCGAGCCCCAGCGGACCGGCCGGGGCCCCGCGGGATGGCAAAACGAGAGAGAGCCGGATGCAGGACGGGCGCTGGCGAGCCCGGCGGGCGTGCTGGCCAAGACGGCAGGGGCGCCAGACGCCGTGCGCATGGGCCAAGATCGGAGAACCCACGTTTTGGCGGCGAGCGAGAAGTGGGGGAGGAGTAAGAAAGAGAGAAGGCCTCTTCAGGAGGCTCGGACGTCCCCTGGGCGTCGGGGAAGTCTTCTGAGCCTTCCCCGGAGATGCACAACACCTCTCAGAAGGAGCGGCAGACGCTGTGCGCATGGACCAGACGTTGTGCGCATGGACCAAGAAGGAGCGGCGAGCGAGGGGGAAGTGAGAATCTGGGTGGCCCAAGAGGGGGTCCAGCTGCAAGGGGGTGGTACAATAGATTTGGGGCAATCGTATTGTAAATGTATTGCTCCGGAGAGTTGTACTGCATCCTATTGCAAGTAGCGTATTGCATTCACATGTCCAGCACTACATTGGCGCCCTGGAATTTATTGCACGCCCAACATGTATTGCAACCCGACAAATCTATTGCACCAAATCTATTGCACCACCCCCTTGTCGCTGGACCCCATTTTGGGTCAACCCGAGAAGGAGAAGGCATACTCAGAAGGCTCGGTATTCCCATGGCCTTCTGAGGACTGTTCTAAGCCTTCCCCGGAGACACCCACACACACACAACACCTCTCAGACTGCGCGAGGGTTTCTGAGAAGTCCCGCCGCCTTCTGAGAAGGCCTTCTCCTTCTCACTTCCCCCCTTCGCTCGTCGCTGAGTAATGGCATAAGCATGATCTCTCGGAGGTCCCCGCTGATTCCTTGGATCGGCGCTGTAGCCCCCTGGCGGCGCCTCTGGCGCCGCCCCCTGGCGCGCTCCACGCGCCAGGGAGGGAGCTCCAACGCCCATGCAAGACATCAGCGCGGACCTCCGAGAGATCACGCTCAGGCCATCCATGTGCTCCTCGACGAGAGGTCCACGCCTTGTGCCCCAGCAGGCCAGCGCCGGAGAAGGCACGGGCCCTGCGCGCGATGACGCCGCGACCCCACGCGGCGGCTTGCGCGGGCGGCCTGCGCGGCGCGCCGCGTGGGAGACGAGGGCGCTCACGCGCCACCTGGCCGATTAAGGAAACCCTGAACCGCAAAAAATGTTCTCGTCTCTCGGAGGCGTACTCTTCTCTCCCTCCGCCGCCCTCCGCCGGCCTCCCGCCCGCTTTCCTCCTCCTCCCTCCTCCTCCTCCTCCCTCCTCCCCCTCCTCCTCCTCCTCCTCCTCCTCCTCCTCCCTCCTCCTCCTCCTCCTCCTCCATCTCCTCCTCCCTCCTCCTCCTCCCTCCTCCTCCTCCTCCTCCTCCTCCTCCATCTCCTCCTCCCTCCTCCTCCCTCCTCCCCTTCCTCCTCCTCCTCCTCCTCCTCCTCCTCCTCCTCCTCCTCCTCCTCCTCCTCCTCTCCTCCTCTCCTCCTCCTCCTCCTCCTCCTCCTCCTCCTCCTCCTCCTCCTCCTCGAAGGCGAGGCCCTTTCTGGAACGCCCCATCGTGCGCGGGCGACTCGCGCGCAGACGTCGGCGCAGGCGGGCCCGGTCTGCTTCGCCGCTCCAGAGGTGTCCCCTTGGGCGTCTCGCGGCCAGGCCCGGAGGAGCCTGGCGACGTCGGCGCACTGCGTCCGTCGCTAGGATTGTGGATGCCACGACGATGGACACGCTAACAGTCCTACCATCTAATTTGACATGTGTTCCAAAATGTAAGAACATGTTCTAGACATGTTTTAAACATAGTTTTGCATGTTCGAAACATGTTTCACACATGCTTTAGACATCTGGAAATACATTGGAAACATGCTTCCTCTCCATTGATCGTCCTCCACAACGCTAGGAGGCCACGTGCGAGCCCGACCCCACCACCCCACGATGTCTGAGGGGGGAGTTGGGGTTCACTTCATTCGTGGCATCTCCTCCCGAGGCGAAGTGAACCCCACCTTCCCCCTCAGTGGGAGGACGGGTCCACCTTTCGCCCCCACCTCGACGAGCAGGCCGCCTGTAGAACATCCGATTACGAATTCTGTCCTGCGTCGGTGTATTCCCTTATTTGCCGTGGAGGCCCTTTGTGGAGCTGGCCGCCTGGACGCGGTAGCCCTGGCTGAAGAAGGCCGCCATCAAGAACAGTGCGGCGGGCTGGTGCACGCTGGCTGGTTCGGGAGAGGAACGGAACCTTGCGACGGTCTCGACCCAGCCAGGCTGCGGAGCTCCTCTTTCCCCCCCGTGCGCCCCCTCTCGACCTGCTCTTCGTTCTCTCCTAGCTCGTCCTCCTGCGCCCGCCGCCGCTCCCTCTTTCCCCTCCTCCTCCTCCTCCTCCTCCTCCCCCGCCTCCGCTTTCCCCTCCTTCCCCTTCCACCTCCTTTCGAGGCCTAAGTTGTCACAAGCTGCAGTGGACACTCGCCCGGCTGCTGCACCCATGAACAGAGCAACCGAGGCGCGCCTGCGGGAGCTCGGACTAATGATGATGCGTTGGCGGCCGAACGGTGGCAATATGTCCAAAACTGTCGGAAACAAACTTTGAAATGGTGACGACTCCGTGAATGTCGTTTCTATGGCATGACAGACCGACCCTGCTACCCTGTGAAAGACGTGTGCCATGGTAGATTCAGTGTAGCTGCGCGTGCCGTGCCGAGACGGTCCGTGCCGTCCAAGCCCTCTGCCAAGAGAAGGCAGAATCAGCACCCTCGGATGAGCCGCTCAGCCAGTTGAAGCGCCACACTGGAGCCACCAGGCCACGGCAAGGAACATAATGGGATGTGGCCGCCTCCGCCGAAGCCTTTGGGAAAACAAGGGTATGGGGAGGGGACGGGGCAGTAGCGGGACAAAGAGAAAAGGGGGTACGTACAAAGTCTTACTAACAGTGATGTATGCATGCGCGCACCTGTGCACGTGTGTCTGTGTGTGTGTGTGTATGTGTGTGTGTGTGTGTGTGTGCGTGCCGTGTGCGTGTGTGTGTGTGTGTGTGTGTGTGTGTGTGTGTGTGTATCCGCCACCGTGCCTCTGGGCACGGAGTGGGCGTGTCCTCAGGTCCTCTGCCTCGTCCTCTGAGCCTCAACCCTCTGATCCCCAGTCCTCAATCCTGCGGAGCTTCTGCGGGCCCAGAACCCAAACTCTCAAATCTAGCGGGGCTCCCCGCGTGCCCCCTGGGCTCCCCCGCGGCTTCCCGCATGACTTGCTCGGGCCCAAGAAGAAGGCCCCAAGACGGGCCCAGAGGGCTCCAGGGAGCCTCCAAGACGACCCAAAAAGGCCCCGAGACAACGAAAGATCGCCCCAAGTCGCCGAAGATGGCCCCCCAGATGGGTCAAGAGGCGTCCAAGACGCTCCAAGAGTCCTCCATGAGGCTTCCGAAGAGAGGCCCCACATGCCAAAAACACTGAGTTTCCGATGGTGGTTGAAGGATGTTGGCGTTCTCGCGTTTTCGGCTTCCCGACGCTCCAAGAAGGCCCCAGAAGGGCCCCAAGCCAGCCCCAAAAAGGGTTCAAGAAAAGGAACGCAATCCGAACATCCGAGCCTTCCGCCCCAGGAGGCCCCCAAGGGGCTTCAAGAGGCGCCCAGGTGGCCCCAAGAGGCCCCCAAGATTCCCCCAAGAAGCCCCAAGAGGCTCCCAATAGACCCAAAATGGGCCCCAAGAAGCCACAACACGGCCCAAGAGGCCTCACAATTGCTTCCAAGAGGCCTCCGGGAGGCCTCCCACGAGATCTAGAACCACGCGCGCGCCTCGAGCGCCAGCGCAGCCTGCGGCAGCCGCCGCGGCGGCGCGCCGCTGCCGCAGCCGCCGCGCCGCCGGGGTCTCCAGGGAGGCGCGGCCGCGACCGCGGGGCAGGCGGCGGCCGAGGCCGCCGCGGCCGCGCGGGGAGCGGCGGCCGCGCCGGCGGCCGGGCAGAGCCCGCGGCGCCTCCGGCGCAGGGGCTTCAGCCAGCCCGGCGCCGCTGCGGGCAGACATGGCGAGGCGGAGGCGGCGGCGGCCGCGGCGCGCGGCCCCGCCGCGCCGCCCAGGCCGTGCAGGCCAGCCTCAACCCGAACCCCGGGGGGAGGAGGCCCCCCCCCAGGAGACGGCTTGAGCCCGAGGCTACGGACAAAAAAGTCGTGGATACGCGAAGCGTGGGCAATTTGACAGTGTTGGGCTTGTTGGCATGATGTCGACTGCTCCTCCTTTTCCTCTCCCGCCACCTTCATCTGCATCATCCGCTTCTCTGTCTCTCTCTCTCTCTCACCCTGCCCCTCGTTCTGCCTTCCCCCTCCTCTTCCCCCTCCTCCTCCCCCTCCTCCGTATCCTTTTCCTCCTCCTCCTCCCCCTCCCCCTCCCCCTCGCCCTGCTCCTCGTCCTCTTGACCCCCCCCCCCTCCCGACGGAGCCACCGCCCACTCCCCAGCAGCTCCCCGGGCAGCTCCCCCGAGAGAGCGGGGGCAACGCCCCGCAGCTGACGCCGTCCCAGTCGGCGTGCGCCCGCAACTCCTTGCGGTCGTCGTCGTCGTCGTCGTCGTCGTCGTCGTCGTCGTCGTGTTCGTCGTTGTCGCCGTCGCCGTCGCCGTCGCCGTCGCCGTCGCCATCGCCGTCGCTGTCGTCGTCGTCGTCGTCGTCGTCGTCGTCGTCGTCGTCGTCGTGGTCGTTGTCGTGGCCGTCGCCGTCGTCGGGAGGGAGGGGAGAGGAAGAGGGAGGAGGGAAAGGAGGAGGAGGAGGAGGAGGAAGAGGAGGAGGGGGTGAGGAGGAGGGGGAGTACGAGAGGGAGGCGAGTGGGTGAGGGGAGGAGGAGGAGGAGGAGGAGGAGGAGGAGGGAGGAGGAGGAGGAGGAGGAGGAGGAGGAGGGGGAGGAGAAGGAGGAGGAGGGGGAGGAGGAGGAGGAGGAGGAGGAGGAGGAGGCTTGTAGTTGAATGCTGATGCCCTTGTGGGAGGTGTACATAGCCCTTCATGTATCGAGCGGGGCACGTGGGCTCGTCCACCCGTGTCAGTCGGTGCTGGTGCAAGTTGGGAAGCCCCGCTCTAGATGGAATTATGCAGCGTACCTTTCGATTGCACCCGGAATGGTTAGGAAACCAAAAAGTGGCATAAACATGAACAACTCTGAGGTCCGCGAAAATTTCTCGGATCGGCACTGGACCCCCCTCCCTGGCGCGCCGAGCGCGCCAGGGGCGGCGCCGGAGGCGCCGCTGGGGGGCCCCAGCGCCGATCCGAGAAATCCGCGCGGACATCCGAGTATTTATGCTTATGTCACTTGTTGTTTCCCTAATGGTGGTTGGTTGGTGTGCGTCCACCGCATGTCTTGGCAGCCATCTCTGCCAATTCAAACTCAAACTCAGGACCGCGTGCTGATACTGAGAACATACATAGCTGGTCCAATCTACTGGAGCATGCAGGTGGGAGATCTGATGTTGTATGCGTACACAGCACTGCAAAAGTTGTAGAGATTCGGGGTCGTCCGCCTGACAGGTTGGCCCACAAGAGCAAGACCATGGAAGACGTGGCACTAGACGTGCGGCTCAACCTAACTGCCGTGCTACATTCCTGGATGCACACTCCCTCGACTTAGAATACATCATGTCCGCACGCTCCACGCATGTCGCTGCCCATCACAGTCGCAACAGGACTGTGAAGCAGGGATGGCGGGGGTACCAGGGTGGGGGCAACGCAGGAGGCCCGCTCCCTCACAATGCTTGGGCGCAGGCAGGGAGACCCGCAGGCAGGCAGGGAGGAGGCCCTGAAGGGGCCGAAGGCGCGGAGTGTAATATGGGAACGGATGGGGGAGGAGGAGGAGGAGGAGGAGGAGGAGGAGGAGGAGGAGGAGAAGGAAAAAGGAGGAGGAGGAGGAGGAGGAGGAGGAGGAGGAGGAGGAAAGGGACAGGGGAGGAGGGAGGGCCCCTCCACGCGAAGTTTGGCCGGGAGCCGGCGCGGCGACCCCTGTGCGCAACACCGCCGCTGGGGCCCAGGCCCGGACAGCGGTCGCTCCCGGGGGCTGCGAGGGGCTGCGTGGGCTGGGGCCCCCCAGCGGCTCTGCCGGAGAGCACCTGGGCGACCCCTGCACAAGATAACAAACATTACAATCACTGTCGGGCTGACGGCAGGTCAGCCTGCGTCGCCGCACATCGACTCTTTGCCACAGCCGAGTGCTGCGAGTCCCCAGCAGCATTTGTCGACAGCTGTCAAAAGCAGCACCGCAAAGGGCCTGCGCCCCGGGCGGCGAGCCCCGGGGGGGCGCGGGCCTGCTCGGAGGGTGGGGGGGGGGGCCTGCTCGGAGGGCTCGGAGGTCCCCTGGCCCTCCGGGGGGCCTGCCGAGCCCTCCCCGAAGGCACGGGGGACATCGCAGGAGGTGCGAGGGGCGGCCTCCGGGAAGTCCCGCCGCCTTCCGAGAAGGCCTTCTCCTGCTCCTTCCCCCCCCTTCGCTCGCCGCCGATACCCAGCGTTAGGTCGGGCGTGTCCCCCTACAGGCGGATTTCGGATGAAGATTAACCAATTGTCAAACATATTCAAACATTGTCAAGCACGTCCAGCAAATCGTCCCCTAACTATTTTTCACAATTCTTGAGTATTCCTCTTGCAGAGGGGCGCGCCCAACTTAAACCCAGCGCTGCCTGGCCAAGCGGCAGCCTGGCAGCCAAGGCACCGATGAAGCGGGGCCGCCTCCGCAGCAGGCGCACCGCCTCCTCATGGAGGCTCTCGTTTTTTGTTTTCCTTCTTCCTGGAGGCTCTCGAAGATTGAAGGGTCGAAAACCGGGGACCATGACCGCGACGTCGCGGGATCTTGTCCATGCCGATCTTGGCCATGGTCCACGTCGGCCGTCGCCTATTCGCGAGGCCGGTGCACGAACTGGCGCCGGCCAAGATACACGCTGGCCAGGATCGGCGCGACGTTTTCCGCGCGCATTCTCGGTCATGGCCCCCTGCTTCTTCCCCTCCGGATGCAGTCAACCCGTATAGTAAGGATGCGCGACAAGGATGCAAGGGCCTCGGACGCCCATTCCGAAGCGGTTCGAGCGGGGCGCGGCCAACGAAAGTGGCCAAGGATGGACCCAGGAGGCTGGGATGCGAGGGTACCCCTGGGAAGGTTGCCCATCCTTCCTGTGCGGGCTGACTGCATCTCGTGCAGGGGCTGCGGGATGCCCTTCTGCGCAGGCGCGGGCGGA